AAATGGTTGTATTGACTCACAGCTCCAAAAGTATACCGATGTGCCTCTCTTCTTACAACTCCTCCAATACTGACTATTCCCATTTTTTATCATCTTGGCCAATTTGCAGGGTGTGAATTGAAACCTCAGAATTGTTTTGATTTGCATTTATTTTATTATTAGTGGTTTGGAGTATTCTATCATATGGTTATTAACATAATTGCTTTTGAAGCTATCTATAGTCATCTAAAAATGCTCTAAATCGTGATTGCTTAGAGAAATGAAAATTAAAACAACACTGAGGCACCATCTCACGGCTATCAGATTGGCTACTATGACAAAAAGGGAAAATGATACATGTTAAAGGGATGTGGGAAAACTGTAGGTGTCAAGTGTTTGGTCTGAGGCCGGATCTGAACTCAGGTCCTCCTGACTTCAAGGCCGGTGCTCTATCCACAGCGCCACCTAGATGCCCCTAATCCAACCATTCTGGAGAGCAATTTGGAACTATGCCCAAAGAGCAACCAAACTGTGCAAGAAATACCACTGCTACATCTGTTCCCCAGAAATTAAAAAAAAAAAAAAAAGGAAAAATGGACCTATATGCATGAAAATATTTATAGCAGCTCTTTTAGTGGTGGCTAAGAATTAGAAATCAAGGTTGGGGAATGGCTGAACAACCTATGGTATATGACTGTGATGGATTATTGTGTTGTAATTAATGATAAGCAGGATGACTTTAGAAAAACCTGGAAAGACTTGCACGAACCGACGCAAAGTGAAATGAGCAGAACCAGGAAAATGTTGTACACAGGAAAAGCAATACTGTATGACGAAGAACTGTGAAAGACTTAGCTATTCTCAAGAATACAATGATCCAAGACAGTCCCAAAGGACACATGACGAAATATGCTATCCACCCCCAAAGAACTGATATTATCTGAACATTGACTAAAGCATGCTATTCTTTAAATGTCCTTCTTTTTTTACTTCCTTCTGTTTGAGTCCTCTTGTACAAAATGACTAATATGTAAATGTTTTACATGATTGCACATGTATAACCTGTATCAGAATACTTGCCATCTCAGGGAGGGAGAAAGGAAGAGAGGGAATAAGGGATACAGTCTGGAACTCAAAACTTAGAAATGTAAAAGATCGTTTTGACATGTAACTGGGGAAAAAATAAAATACCATTTAAAAACAGATTGCTGTTGAAAGTTGCTTGCTCATATCATTTGGCCATTTAAATACCAGGGATACCATATATGAAGATATGTCTGTGTGTATAAAAATGTATTTGTATACAAACATCAATATGTATACATATACATATATACTAGTTGTTTATATATTTTGGATACAAAATCCTTATCTGAGAAATTTTGAAAATAAGATTTTTTTTCCCATTTGCTTTGCAGGACACATTTTAGGAAACACATTGACAAGTTCTCCTAAAATCCTATTGTTTTTTGCCATTCTTTGTAACCTCAGTACTTGGCACAATGCCTGGCACATAGCAGGCACTTAAAACACTTGTTCACTTGACCCTGATAACTCACAGTGTGTGGGAATCTTGTGTTTTCAAAGACTATCCCTATAGAAGATGTTAGGATGTCACTGAAGACCTATCAAATTGGAAAGGGTTCAAACACAGCTGATGACCTGTACTTGAAGGCCAGACTGTTTCAAGAAGCTCATCACTAGTTTGGTAGTAGGCTGATAAATTGTATGGTCACAGCAAGTCTCAGAGACCATCTACATTATAAGCCAGTTGAAATGGAAGAGAGGCTAAATCTGCCTAAATCTGTTGAGATATGAGGAAAATTTTCTTAATTATTAGAGGCATGCAATGGTAGACTGGTTGACTCAAGAGGAACAATGTGTTCCCTATTATGTAAGTCTTCAAATGCAAGTTGGGAGATGACTGGTCAATGACTGATGTTCAGGTCTAGTCTGGGCTAGATCAATCAGTCAATACACATTAAGCACATACTATGTACTAGGCACTGTGCTAGGTATTGGGGATACAAAACCAGAAACGAAACAGTATCTAGATGCAAGATGCTTGCATCCTACAGAGGGAAATAACAAATTGTATACAAAATAAAAACAAGGTAATTTAGGGGAGGAAAGCTCTAGCATCTGGGAGATAAATGAAGAGATCATTTAGATGGTGTATGACCTAAACTTTGAAGCAACTAGTGATTCTAAGTGAAGATGAGGAGAGAACAAATCCCAGGCATGACCACCAACCTTTACAAGGATACAGAGAAAGAAAAATGGAATGTTAGGTGTGAAGAAGATCAAGAAGACCTGTTTGCCTAGATCAAAAAAATACGTGAAAGAGAAATGTATGACGCTGGGACGATAAATTGCGGCCAGGTTGTGAAAAGTTTTAAATGCCAGAGGAATTTGTATTTGATTCTACAATAGGGAGTAATTAGTTTATTCATCAATCAACTGAAACTGCCATCTTCAACGTTACTAACAATCTCTTAATTTCCAAACATATCTCAATCTTGATCCTCTGGACCCCTGTAGCCCTTGACATTGTCAGTCACCTTTTCCTTGGTATTCTCTTGTCTTCAGGTTTTTTATGATACTTCTCTCTCCTGCTTCTTCCCCTACCCGTCAGACAGCTTTTTTTCAGTCTCCTTTGCTGGAGCATCCAAGTTATAGCAAGCTAATTATGGGTGTCCTCCCAAGGCTCTATCCGGGCCGTCTTCTTCATACGCATTTGCTTGATCTCATCAGTTCCCATAGATTCAATTGTCATCTCTGTGCAGATGATTCTCTGATCTATTTACCTAGTCCTAACCTCTCATCTGACCTCCAGTGTTACATTTCCCACTAACAATTGCACATCTCTAACTGGATGTTCCATAGACAATTTAAATTCACTATGTCCAAAAGAAAACTCATCATTTTCCCTCCAAAATTCTCCTTTCTTCCTAATTTGCCTTTTACCGTCAAGGACTCTGCTACCTTCCCATTCACAAAGGCTCGAAAGCTGTCATCCTAAATTGCTCACTCTTTCTCACTCCATTTGCAATCTGTTGCCAACTCCTGTTGATTTCACCTTTTCATTATCTTTCATATCTTCCTTCTTCCTTCTTCTAACACTACAAGCAACCTGGGGCAGGCCCTCATCTCATGCCTGGACTACTTCAACAGTCTTTTGGCTGTTGTCCTTGTTCTCATCTCTCCTCCACATAGTCTCACCACTTCCCCTATACCCCCATTCTCTAAACTGCTATGGCTCCCTATCTTTTCCAACTCAATATAAAATCCTGCTTATTGAAGGCCCTTCATAACGCAGCCTTTTCTACCTTTCCAGTCTTCTTTCACCTTACTCCTCTACACATACTCTTTGATCTAGTGGGTACTGGCCTTGCTGCTCCTCACACAGGACACTCTGTCTTAGGGACTTAATAAATGCTTGTTAATTTGACTGGACTTGCCCCAGTAAAGGAGACTGAGGAAAGGTCAGGAAGACCATGAGGGCATTGTCGTGAAAACCCCACGCGGAAAGATTAGCCAGGACAACAGAGTAATCGTGAGGTCAAGAAGGAGCTGATAAAAAGGTACTTATATAAGGAAATTCTGAGGGTCATTCTAACTCAGAGATTCTGTGATTCTATTAAGAAGCCTTCAAAGCCACCATAAGCCCAGTCAGAAGTGATTTGTCCTCCTACACTCTTGTAGTATTTTGAATCTCTCATACACAGTTCTCATGCACTACTTTATTTACATAATTTAATTCTCCTCATAAATTATAACCTTCTTTATAAACTACTCACCTTATCTTTTTACCCCACCTCAATGCCTACCATAGTGCTTTGCACATAACGGACACTGCTTATTAATTAAAATGACTTAATGAAAGGTAAAGGTCTTGACAATTAATGAGCTTCTCAGGTTATAAAGTATCTTTGATCTCCAAAATCTTCTATATACTCAGATGAGCATTTTTCATTTGACAGATCAGAGGTTGAGAGTGAGGAAACAGCAGTCATTGTTACAGGTGAATTTTAGTTAGTAGTTTATCTAAACAGGATGACTTCCAAAAAAAAGCACACACATAAAAATAAGTTGCACTAGATCAATAATTTCATAAGTTTTTTTTAATTTAGTAAAATCAGAATCATAATATTAGGTAATACAAAAATTCCTTGATTTCTTTACATCATTAATACTTACCCCATATGGTTTAAAAAGGAAATAAAAAATTTCCCCACACATCTGCATATTTTACAAATTTCAAAAGCATCTCTTTGAAATGCATTTGAAAAATACAACGTACACATATGAATTTAAAACACAAGTTACTGCAAAAATGGAAATTACTTCCTTTACAAAGAGTTCCCATCTTTCAGCATGTTGCCCACACTAATTTCACAAACAAAAAAAAAAACCTTTTATTTTTCTTTTCTAATATACCTAAAGTACCCTTTTACTTGAATAAAAAAACACACAAAACTGGAACCATACATATATGCACATTCATTAATACTTTCAGTTATTATGGCAGCTTAAGTTATAACAATTACAAGTCTTTGAAGTATTGAGTATCTGAAAGTTCTAGTGCAGTTTTAAGTTATTAAACCTTAAAACATCATTAAAACTTTTAGGATACCTAGAATTACTTATGGAATTAGTAGTGTCAAAGTCTAAATGCCAAAAGTAATTACGGACTATTCTGTCAAAGAAATATAAATGAAGTAATGGTACAATGAGTCATATTTCCATCCACAAATTGAAGCTTATCAGAAATAATCTTACAATCGAAGGTGCTGACCACCAGCCTTTTTTGGGGGGAGAGATTGCAAATTGTACTTTATTTTTACTAAGCAAATAATTTTATTGTTGAGGGCACTGTGTCTGAGTTGGTTTGGAAGACACATAAAGGGTAGTGTATGTTTTCTTTAAAGTTTTTCTCTCAGGTTTGCTTGCAGTGTCTTTCCCCTCTTTAGCTTCTGTTTGGAGCTTCGATTCAGCAGCTAATAACCTACAGGTAGCAAAGCATCCATTCTAAATTCCAATTATTTATGAAAAGAAAGTTCAAAATAAAAATTCTACTGCAAAGAACTTTAGTGACTCAGCCAAACTATATCCCCTCACAAATAAAAAACAAAGAGTATTCTCAGACCGTTAAAAAGGTCCAGTCATTGTTTCACCTAGGGGACCATTTTTACATTTGTACTTTTCATTTAAAAGGTTACTAGCTTTTTTTATTTTAAATATCATCTTAGATTGAGAGCTGGAAGGGACCTCTTTGGAAGTTACTTATTTCAACCAACCAATTCTACAGATGAAGAAAGGCGGCCCTAACAGGTTAACTGATTTATCTAAGGTCACAAAATCATTAAATAGTAGAGTCAGGATTCAAACACAGGCCCTCAATTTCAAATCCAGCATTATTTCCTCTTTATAAATCAATAATTCACCAGCCATGAACAAGTCTAACAATCAGGCTGTAACCAGCATGCTGTGCCTATTCACCAAACAAAAAAGCCCAAAAAACAGCACAGAGTATACATACATACACTGTGGACAATCATGCACACATGCAAAGAAAGCTGCGATTAGTGGATTTTAGAATCTGTACATTATAAACACCATTACCACCAAGTTGATTCTTTTTAACAAGTCTGTCAATTTTATGAGTCAAGCATGCAAGACAGGAAATATCATATAAACCTGAATTTTAGCTTGATTTAAAATGCATTGAAATTGCTTTAGTATCATATCATATATATATGTCTAATTATGTAGTTCAGCATAATAATCATTTCCAAAGACTAGAGAAAGTCCTAATTGGGCAAGTGGTCACAAAAAAAAGGTAGTATTTCGGGATTCTTTTGTGGACTTGAAAAATGTTAGTGTGCTACATAAATATGCACTCATTTAACATTAAGTAGCTATTTGCTTAAATAAATTTACCACATTTGTAAAGGACTGACAAAAAAGCAATAAAGAAAAGCAGCAAAGTTTGCATTATTCAATTCCGAGAGACTCCTACACAAACATACAGAAATCAAGCATACTTATACAATGAAGCACAGACATAGAAAAGTTAAATATAACTTGATGACTTGACTTTAACAACATCTGGAAAATGCGGCCTCAGATACTGTTTCTTAAAATTCTGGCTTTGGAACTGCCAAAGTTACATATTATGTACCTTACAGGTAACACTGCCAGTAAAGCAAGTTGTACATGCTTTGTTCAACATTCAGAGAAAGGAATTAATATTAGAACACTTCAACTTGTAAATGCTGTATTAAGAGACATCCTAATATAAAAGTTACAACACTGAGATTACACAGTTGCAAAACAATGAAGAATTGATCATGTGTTTCAAAATTACTAAATTTAGGTCTTATTTTCTACCTTTTAATATTAGGCTAATTGCATGGGCAAAATAAATAAATAACGATCGATGTTTTTATTGAAGCCAAAGAGAGCTTAATTGTTATATTCTCTCCTACAGCATTTAGATCCATTCTCCTCTACATTCAATAGACATTGAATAAATATTGCCTGCTGATTAAAAAAAGATTAAGGCTAAGTACATAAAGTAGCCTTACAAGGTGGAGTCTCTTATTCCGTTATTATAAGATAACTTTCTCAGTTTTTCCCACTCATCTACAACAGCAGTACTTTAAAATTCCTGCATAGGCAACCCTGTGGCACCCCGAAGTCGATTCTACCATTTCCTCATTATCATATCCCTTTTCTCCCTTCTCTTCTCCTTCCATAGCCCCTTCTTCTTCTCCTGGCAGTTTCCTTCCATTTGCCTTTCCTTTTTCTTCTGAGTCACACCTTGGTCCAGCCTTAGGCAGACTGTGGCATTCTTACCCTAATTTCACACCAAAGCTAAGACTACAGAAGTCAATAACCTCTGCTGGACACAGTTTCTTTCCACTAATTTGACACTTCTATTCTTCTCTACTCACAGACTCAATCATCCAAACTTCCTTAGTTTACTATTTTATCCCATCAACCCATTCCACTAACTTGCTCTTACTCACTTCTTTTCAGAAACTCCTTTATCCAAAGCCTATCTCTTTTTATCTCTTAAGGTAACTAGGCCCTCAAAAAGACACTTCCTTCAGAAGGTTTCCTGTACCTTGGTAACACCCACATTTAATCATGTAGAGACTAAATGCTTTACAGGGACAAGTTTAAATGATAAAACTAAAATGGATTAGCTTTGATTGTTAGAAACAGAATAGTATCTATCAAAGATACTTAAACTTCAAAAACTGACAACTTACTCAGGATCAAATCAAAGGTTAAAACAATTTTTCTCCCAGATGAAGTTTCTTAGGACATGTTCCTTTAGAAAGAAGGCAAGTGAAAGTTCCCCTCATGGCTACTACTAAACTAGTAAAAGTAGCATATTCATTCAAAGAACATGTTAGTAAATTTACTGTGATGTTTCTATTTTAAAGACAAAATAATCTTGTTACATGAAAAAGGCAATTCTAAATTTGAGAGCAGAGCTGCACTGCTTATGAGTCCTTTCTACCTGAGATCATTTTAGTCTTTTTTAGAGTTTTGGGAAAGTTGAAGGGAGGCAGGTGAAGCTGAAGGATCACACTGCATGCAACACCAAGAAAACAGACAAAGAAACGGAGAGCACAGGTCATGCAGCGAAAGAAAACAGATGAAGGTGCCTGCCCACTGCCTTGAGGAGACACTAGAGAGGTCACTGACCTGGAAGGATTAGCAGCGTTGCCATCTCTTTCAAGTAAAACTTTTGGACTGGACGTAATGCCAATGATTTTCACGCACTTCTTTTCCTTCAGAGGTTGTTCATCCACAGGTGGGGTTTTGGGGAGAGAGAGTGTCACAGCTGAATTCCCAGAATTCTCTGACGGTCTTTGGTTTTCTCCTCCTAGATTACTGGCAGAGGAGTTGGTCTCACTGTCAGAGGTTAAGTTAGAAGGGTCTTCTAGGACAGTGCTAGCCGAAGCTTCATCTTTAGACAGAGGCACATCCAGGGGCAATTTCTCACACTTTTTTTTATGTACAGGTATTTCAACTGGCTCTGAGAAGAAAAATATTTCAAACAGGTTAAAATAATGAGCTTTAAAAAAATACTAGATGCCACTGACGTTCATTTTTTAAAAAAATATTCTCACTGTCAATGTATGTTTATTAAAATACACTGAGAGTTAAGCTCTGAGCTAGGCACTGGGGAGATACAAAGACAAGTATGACATAATTCCTACCCTCAATGTCTTACAGACATCACAATCAACCCTTATAGAGGGCACAGTCTGAAAGATACTTTACCATCTTGTTACTTTTTTTTCCCCATGACTTCAAATTCTGATTTCTTAGATCTGTTCCAAGTGGTAACATTTGATAACTTTCTGGGTATGATGTAAATCTAGCTGCCAGTTAAGGAATACCACATCTTCAAATGATCAAAACTGAAGGATATCAAGAGGGAGGAAAAAGATGTATGCATGGTAAGCATGAAGAGGAAGTCAGATTTACCAGCGAAGAACTGTACAAAAGTGGCAGAGATATGTATGGCTGAAAATAGAAGTAGGCCAATCACAGAGTGAGAGTGTGGAATAACCAATAAACAGTCATATGTCACAGGTATCTACACAATGTCAAGAGATCTCGAAGAAAGCTACCAGTATGTATACCTGGAGAGCCACCTGTTATGGTTACAGGCAGAACAAAGAAGCTGACATGAGAAGAAAGAGCTATTTTGTTTTTAAATATATGTCCAATTTGTGTGAACTTGAGAAGTGATATAGCATGGCTTTTTAAACGAAAATGTTTTTGAAAATAATGAAAATCTCTGGAAAGATCTCAATATAATTTAAAGATTTAGAGAAATAGAATTATTCCCAAGCTTCTTGGCTACAGATTTTTTTAAGAACAAATACCACATATCATTATATCATAAACTCATCATCCAGAAATTCAAAGAAGATTACTAAGTGATTAAGTGCATCAAGATGCAATGGGCAAGTGCACATTCTAAAATAAACTAATTTAAAGCATAATCATATACGGAGACTGTATTAAAAGAAACAAAAAAATGTAAAGATATTAAAATGGGTACCTTCTGATCAGAGTCTTTACAAAACTGCATCAACTATATATAGCCTAATTTGTGTAAAAGTGTTCACATAGTCATTAGTAGGGCTATAGCTGAAAAATCAGTATTTTTAAGTCTACTCAGTTTATACATTTTCTTTTAAATTATATGACTTAAAAAACAAACAAAAAAAATTATATGACTTACATACCTTCAGGTTCATATTTCATTTGCAGTTCATCTAGTTTAACTCTCAGGTTCATATTTTCACTTTGGAAAAGCTGGAGATGCCTTTCATTTGCAAAAAGCTTTCTCTCTACCTCCAAAACCCGCTGGCTCTCATATAATGCCTTCATCCGCTGTAAGGATAGTTCATCTCTAACTTTTTCAATCTCTTTGCTATGGGAAAAAAATGACTAATCGCTGTTAAAACAAGTTAATGTTTTTTTTAAGGAATGCATCTAATGTTTTAAAATACCAAATGTTACATAGCATCAAATTATGTGTCACTAAAAAAATTAGTTTACTTTAACCCCTCATTAAAACAGCTGTTACTTTTCTACAGGATACTTAATAAAGTAGCATCAGAAGTCAAACAGACTCAAATTGTAGTAGTCCTCATGAAAATTTCTCAGTTAAGAAACAGTGCTTAAAATCAAAACAGATCAGAGAAGGGGAGGACACAATGTGCCCTATCTATTTTTACTGTGGGAATTCTTTGAAGTTTAGAATGAAGGAAGTAATTTTACCCTTTAGAAAACATAAACAAATTTAGAAAGACATTTTTAATATTCTATCCATGAAAAATTAAAGCATATTTCATTGTGACATAAATTTAAAAAACTGAAAGTGGAGAATTAAACCATTATTTTGATCACATTAGTATTTGTTTTGTTTTGTTTTTTTACCACTTTCATTCTTAATTTTGAGCTTATTTTTGAATTTTGAACCCAGAATTTTGAAAAAAAATTGCAATGAAATACATTGTATAGAAGCAAATGGAAAAAAAACCCTGCTATTTCTCTACACCCTACCTACTTCTAATACTTACTTTGAGTTTTCAAGCTTCATTTGAAGTAAATCAATATAATATGTATTATCCTCTGGAGTACACGAGCTATTAGAGGGCTTAGATTCCATGTTTTCATATAAATTCTGAAGAAAAGAATCATAATCATCACAAAATATACAACAAATAATATGCAATATACTGACTTCTAAAATTGGATAGAAATATGTTTAAGAAATTTTGATTTTTTTTTCCTTCATAGTGCCCAAACATGGAAAACTTAGAGGTGGAAAAGAACCTGAATAATTTTTAAAAATGAACTAATTTCATCTGATGATTAAAAGATTATTATAGAATTAATGCAAATACTTAGTTGAAACCATATGAAAATATTCCAAGCCAATAAAGTTTTATACCTAAAAGATCAAAATGTTTAACATTTTTCAGCTATAGAAAACTATTAAAAAGGTGTTATACATACCTTAAATTTCTCTAGCTGCTTTATTTTCACTAAAAGATTTTCTACTTCACCATTCTTCTGCTCTAACATAGCCTGCAAGCGTTCCAGCTGCTCAAATTCTGTTTGTGACCCTTTCATCTGGAGCAGTGTGGCAATTTGTAACTAGAAAAATGAAACAGTCTTCATAAGCTAAATTAAAAAAAAAACCCAGAAAACAGAATTGGATAACCAAGACTTATTGGTACACATATTTATTCTAATGGCATTGCTTCAGTTCATTCTTAAAATGAATACAGTAATATATCATATATTTGTGGTTTGATATGAAATACATCTGCCAGTATCTTTTATTTTAAAATACACATAAAAGACAAAAATCATATTTAAAGTGGAAAGGAAAACAGGGATCAAGAGAATTTAAATTTTTTCATGTCAATCTGCTGTTTTGCTATTTTTTAAGCACATAAGGCTTTCTAACGACTTAAGAAATTTTCAAAATTTCAATTAAGAGTGAGCTATCACATAGAAACTAAGTTATTCTATCAAAAAAAATTTTTTTAAAGTATCCATGAGTTCTGAGCAACCCAAGACATGATGTTGGTTGCTTTAGGTTGGTGAGAATATCTACTTCTCCCTCTACAACTTCTTACCTACTACCTTCCCCCTGTTCCTACTCTTCCTCTTCTGCCCCAGGAGCCAGTACTACTTTAAGCAAGAAGAGTTTCGAGAATCATTGATCAACAGGTAGGGATGACGAGATCCCTGAACATGAACAAAATCAAGACATCTCAGGCTGTTTGAAGATGACATACCTGCAGGCTGCCATCCATCTAATCATGAGTCTTTTAGCATAACACCTGTAATCTGATTTATCATAAATACTTAAGTGCCATGAAGACTTGTACTGTACACAACTGTATGCTGCATCATAGATGGGTGGGGGTGTGTGTGTGTGGGTGTATGTGGGTGTGTGTCTACTAGTTCCTACCGCTACCTTGATCTCACTGGGAGTGTTACACCAAGAAGAGATGTGTTCTTGACCTTAAAGTGGAGCTATTCATATCAGTTACTTTCAAAAGAGCTGGAACATATTATAAATGAAGAACAATAGTGGCTAAATATACTTTTGCTAACTGGCTTTAGGAGTTCAACAACCATATGTTTCAATGTGTTAAAACTCTGGAATGCTACCCATTTAAAAGCTGGAGATTTCCTGAATGGGAGGAGGGGGGAGGGGAAATGAGAGGGAAGAGGTGTGATGTATGTTTTCTATAGGATGACCTGCAGCTTTTGGCTTTTTCTTCAGAGAATACATTTGTTTAAATTTCTCAATATCAGTACCATGCACAATTACAAATAAATGCTTGACCATTATCCCAGACCTTCATTCTCTGCATCTGTTCTCTATTAAACGAGTGCTGTTTTTGAAGAGATTGATACTTGACTTTCATACTGATCAACTGTCGTTCCATTTCCGCCCTCCGATCTTCCACCTAGAAAACATCACTTTTTAAATACTTCCTTGAGTAGCAGAAAAGATGTAATGCTCCACTGGTTAACTCAGTATTCAGATTGTAAGTACCTCTGCAAACAAAGAGTTGCCTTTACTGTTGGGGTCCAAGGCCTGCCGCAATGCATGATCCAATTGTGCCTGTAGATCCTGATTAGTTATGCGAGCTTTCTAAATTAAAGAAGAAAGCCTAAATAATATTCGTAAATTCAAAAACCAACCAAAGGCTAGAGACAGAGGAGATCAGTGAAAATATAATACCTCTAATGCATTAAAGTAAGAAACAACTTCTTTCTCTCTGTCTTCTTTTTCCCCTTGAAGGCATTCTAGTTGGTGCTGTAAGTTGTTATTAATAAGTTCTAGTTGTTCTTGTCTGTACTGCAGCTCATTCATTCTTTCTTCAAGGCTGGCCTGTTCGAAATGGAAAAAAACCAAACCAACTTAAAAAGCTACTTTCATAAAGAACTTTTCAGTTAGCTGCTCTTCAGGTTATCCCAGTAAACACATGGGGCTACGAGGGACTGTGGATAGACCAAGAAGTTCAGATCCATGAAGATCACAGTTCCAGTAGTACTTCAGACACTTAAGAGCTCTGTGACCCTGAATAAGTCACTTAATCTCTCTCAGCTTCAGTTTCCTCATCAGTAAAATAAAGGTGTTAGACTCAACGGCTTCTAGAAGGTCTCTTCCATTGATAAACTGACGATCCTATGAAAAGGTAAAAAGGAAAATGCACAAAGTATGGGACCAAAAGCAGCTTAACCGCCTGGTTGGGAACCAATGGTAGGTCCTAAAGGCCTTCTGTCTGAGAATTTGTTTTTCCTTTAAAAAAAAAAAGTTTTATTGATGCCTTTTACTATTATATCAGAGCCAATCTAACACTCCAACTCCCTCCTCCTCAATTGGACCTTCCCTTCTGACAAGGGATAATTAGGCAATAACATCTGATATAATGGCAATTTAATACAATCTACTGTCTTAGATATCACTTGGATATCTCAGCCGCTATCGGGTGGTATTATTTCTTTGTTCTTCAGCACTGTCAGTTACTCAGATTACAAATTTTTTTATAGATCCTTTGATTTACACATTACTGTAGTCATTGTATTCCAGGTTCTCTTGGTTCTACCCTAGCATTTGTCATCTTTCCCGATTTTCTGGGTATAAGGTAAAACCTCACAGTTATTTTAATTCACATTTCTATTACCGTGGTGATTTGGAATATGTTTTAAAATAGTCATTCATATTTTTCAATTTTCTTTTAAAACTGTTTGTTCTTAACCTTTGACTACTTATCTATTTAGGATTGGTTCCTAGTATTAATACATTTTTGTCAATCCTCAATATATTAGCTATCAGAATTTTATCAATGATATAAGATAAAAATATTTTTCCTCATTCTCATTTTTTCCTATCTTTGCAAATGATTTGCACAAAAGCAGTTTAATTTTATGTGATCAAAAATGATTTATTTTTTATGATCACCTTTCTCTTGTTTAATAATTTTCCCCTTAGTTTTAGGAGAGTGGAATATATCAAACCTAGCTGATGTGGGTTGTTTTGAAGTACCTTCTTTTCTTTTCTTTTCTTTTTTAATAAGAGATGGCTTACTGAGAAGGAGTAAAAGGGGAAAGATAGGTTCAGAAATGAAAGTGATGTTTAAAAAAATGCAAAAACAATAAAATCTAAAAATTTTTAAGAGAACTAAAAAAAGAACTCTCCCTCTAACAAAAAGCATGAAAAGTACCTGATCTTATTATTTACTTTTGCTGTGGGACTTTTTAATTTTAGTTTATGTACCCATTTTAGTATAAGATGTTGGTCTAAATTTAATGTCTATCCAAGTCCTTTCAACTTTCCCCAGAAGTTGTACCAAGTAGTTTTGATGATGGCTACTTTATAATACAATTTGAGGCCTGACAATATTATCCCTTCTTTATTTATGCTTTTTCTCAATATTACACTTGAGATTTTAGGCCTTTTGTTTTAGATGAATTTTATTCTGTCTAGTTCTACAAGTCATTTTATATTGGAATAGCCCCAACCAAGAGTAATGAATCTCTCTCCAATTACTGAAGTCTCTCTTTATTTCTGTAAAGTATTTTATAGCTGCAGTTACATAAATCTTGCACGTGTGTTGGTAGGTTAACTCACAGACATTTTATGCATTTCGTCTCCCTGAAAGCTTAGGTTTCCTGCTGGTAATCAAATCACAGCATAGGATTGTAGGAATGCAAACTTCACGCATGACAATTTTCAATTTCAACCCTGTTTTAGACTTGAAATATGGGTCTAATCTTTGGTCACAACATTCACCGTCTACCAGTATTAAATAACTGTTATTTCGTGATGGACTAGCCACTATAGCGTAAGCATCACATTAAACTTAAAATTAAAATATGCCCTAGGTCTCCAAAAAAGATGATACAGCATTTTCTAACGAGATTAATAAAAGTTAGATCAATAACCATTTCGTCTTGAAAGTTAGCTCATTTACTTTAAGAGACAGAAAAGAACTTCCATACTATAAAAAACAACTAAAACAAAGAATCAGGAAATTGTATGCTATAAATCCATACCTTTACACTTTCCAACTCAGTTATCTCAATCTGAAGACTCAGCATTTCGGAAGACATAGTCTCATGTACACGCTCAGACATTATCCGCAGTTCCTCTGATTTAGCAGACAAGATTTCTTTCTGATGTTCTACTTTGTGTTTCAATTGTTTTTCACTTAGTCGGGCTTCATCTAACTCAGCTTTCAATTTTTCTATCTTAAAAAAAAAAAGTACAACTGATGTAAAAAGTAACCAAAAGTCATTATAGGTAATTGTGGGAATCTGTAGTTGGGAAAAAGTATTATATTTAGAAAACTAAAGGTTAATGTAATAATTTTAGAATGAAATCCTTCCAAAATATATCACAGAACTGCAAGTTTTAGCAAACAGAATATGCTGGACATAATTCAACATCTTTTTAATTTAACTTTTTTTTTTCAATTAACAAAAATCTATTTTCTCTCCCTCCTACCTCTCCCAAACAGGGGGAGGGGGTGGTGGTGGTGGAAACTCTTGCATCAAATATGCACAGTCAAACTAAACAAATTTCCACATTGGCCATGCCCCCAAAAACCTGTCTCATTCTAAATTCTGAGTCCACCATTTCCATGAAGAGGTAAATAGCACGATCCATCATGAGTCCTTTGGAATCATGTTTGGTCAATAAGTTGATAAGAGTTCTCAGGTCTTTCAAAGTAATTTGTCTTTAGAGTATTATGATATAAATTGTTCTCTGGTTCTGCTCATTTCACTCTGTACCAGTTCATACAAGTCTTTACAGGATTCTCTAAAACTGTCCCCTCCATTTCATCACATTTATATAGCATAATATGTTCAGCCACTCCCCAACTGAGGGACACTTCTTTTGTTTACGGTTCTTTAACACTACAAAAAAAGCTCCTATAAATCTTTTTTACATATAGGTCTTTATTCTATTTACTCGATGTCTTTGGGGTATAGTCTAATAGAAGTATTCACTGGGTCAAAGGGTATGCACAGTTTTGTGACATTCTGAATACTAACAACCATGGGAAAGACTGCCCCAGATGACTACATGAGAAATACAAATAAAAATAACTCTTAAGGCTTCACTTCACATCCAGCAAACTTGAAATGATAAAAAATGGAATAAGTCAATGTTAGATGAGGTATGGAAAGACAGGTACACTAATACTAATAGTGGAGACGTAAAGTGGTCCAACCATTCTGGAAAAGAGTTTGGAATTATGTTAAAAAGTGGTGAAAACGTCCACAGAGGCCCCCAACTGAAAGGTCCCATGAACACCAAAGCATTCATAAGCAGCACTTTTTGTGGTAACAAAAAACTGTAAGCCAAGTAGATGCCCTTCGACTGCAGAAGGGCAGAACGAATTGTGGCACATGAATGATGAGATGTTACTGAGCTATAAGAAATACAAAGAATTCTAGGAAGTTTGAAGACATATGACCTGATGCAAAGTGAAGTTAGAAACAGGAAAATAACACACATAAGAACTTCAACAAAAATAGAAAGAACAAAAAAAAATGAAACTGAATATCATTTAATTATAATGACCAAAGCTGGCCTCCAGACAAGGATGATAGAACATGCCTCTTGTACCTCCCTTTCTTCTCTGCACAGAGGTGTGGGACAATAGGTGTGGAACACTGCATATACTGTCACAGTCAGCTGATATGTTGATTAGTTTTGCTGAGGAGCATTTCCCCCCCCCCTTTCTCTATTCTTGTTACAAGGAAGGCATGGTTGGATGAAAATGGGAAGAGAGAGGGATAAACTGGGAAGTGAATGTGACATAACAAGACACAAATAAAAGTCTGAAAAGGATGACAATCCAAACCTTGTTTTTCAGCTCGTTCACTTCCTGCCCGTGGCTCCTTGACAGCTGTTCTTCCAATGTATCCAGCTGTAATCTCTGCTGCTGCCTAATAGCATCACATTCAGAGTTCAAACTCTCCAACATGCGGTTTTTAAGTTCAACTTCTCGATGAAGAGTAAATTTTTCTTGTTCATAATTCTAGGGAAAGATTCAATTACAATACAAATGCAGTAAAACTAATTGAGGTTATTACATAGATACATTTCTCACCCACCACTGCCCTGGAAGTGGAAAACCAATTAGGATACAGCTTTGTGTAGCAGAAATGGGACCTATGTTCAAAATCTGGCTCTGCTACCAATTACTTTACATTGCTATGCCTCAATTTCCTCATCTGTAGGCTAAAAATGATATCTGCATTATTTACCTCACCAGAGCTGTTTTAAGAATGGAACACAATGTATGTTCAGTGCTGTCTATGTGGTAAAGCTCCATAGAAGAGGTCAGTTACTATAATAATAGGTGAGGTGTGAGTCTATGAGAACCTAGATAAGGTTAGTGACGATAAGAACAGAAAAAGGCGGCAACAAATGTGTTTTGCAAAAAAAAAAATCATCAAGAAAAAATAAAGTCAGTGACTAAAAGATGGTTGCACTGCTGACTCAGGAAAAATAATCAATTTAGATGTGGAAAGGCAAACGAATTTCATTTTGGACCTTTCAAATTCAACTTATAGAATGTGAGAGGTGAGAGTTGAGAATTGTAATGGTCCTCAGTAAGCACTCAATGTAATGTCCTTTCTTCCTAATGTGAGAGAGGACAAAAGGATTGGGCTAGAGATAATGATTTGAGAGGCAGTATGACTTGGAGGGCCAGTCAAGAAGACCTGGATTTAAGTGCCATCTCTCACATTACTGGTTTCACAACAGGCAGGAGAGTCACTTCACCTCTCAGTACCTCCAAGCAACTCTAACTCTCTAAGTGACAGAGCAGCTACTGATCAGCATTCCTAGAGAGAGAGTTTTCTATAGTGATTACCTACAATACAAACAAAACCCACAGGACCAGTATTCTACCCCACACCTACAAAAAAATAAAATAACCTTGATTGGCATGAGCGCAGAAGGAAAAGTACACCAAGCTGTAAGAAAGTGACTGGTTAATGAGAAAACTGTAGAAACAGAACAGCACAGGGCTGAGGACCTAATTTTGGTAAATGCCAACAGTTAGAGATTGAAAGAAAAAATAGGAAATCAGGAAGGATCTCCTCTTAATTCCCATTTTTCATTTCACTCACTTGTATACTTATCTCTTCTTTATGCCTGGATTAATTTCCCAAATGACAGGGATAAAGGTAGTCCCCCTCCTTTATAAAAGAATAAACCTCAGTAAATGCTATCCATATAAATGACTTTAAAAAATGGGGTTATTTAAACAGCACTGTCCGAAAATAATTTAACCAAATTGAATTTTGTGACATAAGAAACCAAACTGAACGTGTAAAAGACTCTAAATCTGATTCTTCCTACCAATCTATATACAGGCACTTTTCTTTCTTTTTCTTTTTTCCTTGAGGCAATCAGGGTTTAGTGACTCGCCCAGGGTCACACAGCTAGTAAACCTGTCAATCGTCTGAGGCTGCATTTGAACTCAGGTCCTCCTAACTCCACAGTTGGTGCTCCATCCACTGCACCACCTAGCTACCACCTCTGCAGGCACTTTCCAAAGTTCATTTTTAACTCTGCCATTCTGTCACTGAGCTTTCCTAAGAGAAATTATTTCATCATAAAGATGAAATTAATCTCTAAAGGGAAAAACCAACAACTAATTTCACTACTAGGAAATAAAATCTTCCCCAGCAAAAGTCCTCCTTGCAAATCTAGTCCAAATAAAGAATCCTACCTCTGTTGTGGTCATTATTTCACTTCTCATTTTGTCCAATTGGTTCTGCAGCTCACTTTGGCTCTCCAACAGCAGTAAACCATACTGTGCTGCTTTCATCCGCTCTTCTTCAGCCTCTCTGAGCTGCCGACGAAGATTCAAAACTAACTCTGACTCCATTTTATTTCTCTGCTTTCAGTCTATGAGGAAAAAACCAACACTAAAAGTTAGAGCTCATGCAAAATTTAACAAAAAAAATAAAAATAATGGCAATGTGAAATTGTAGTTTCCACGTGAAAATTGAATATATTATTTCCTGAACTGTTAGTAATCAAATGTTTTCTTTATCCAAAAATTAGTTTTTATTACTTGTGATTTGAACTCAAATCCAAGCATAAAATTAGTTTGAATCAACTTAAAAGTGGTCTTAAAAAATTAATAAGAAAAGCAGATTCGATGTTATTACCTTCATTAAGTACATAATTAACAAGGAAACAAGGAGAATCAAAAAAACTTTCACATTAAAATAGCGAGCTTGCTACTTAATTTGAACAAAATTTACACTGTAACCCAAGAAACCTTATGCTTTTAGTAGTTTCAAAATATATCAGTTAACTTTCCAGATGCGTAAGTTTACCTCCTTAAAAACAAAACCACTGGAGGTTAGATCCTTCCAAAAAAGATTTTATTAAAAAGATGCATAAATAACCTATTTAGGGCATGGCAGCATTGCTCTTAGTCTAAATTTTCCAAAGACAAGGTTTCAGCTTACATCTTTTTTAAATGTTCTTTTAACTTATACTCTGGAGTCTCTCATCTTTCAAATTTTATTCACTATCTTTTAAAAAGAACTGAACTCAGCTTTTGTTTTACAGCAAAAGGTTCAGACCATCAAAGAAATTCCCCTTCCCTCCCCCATTAGCTTTTCTAGGTTTCAAGTTTGCAAACGTAGCCCTAAAATGTTAATTCTGAGGAACGGGCCAAAGAAATGCAAATCCTACTGAAACACCATTAGACACCTGGCTTCCAGCTAGACAGAAGACGGTCCAAGCGGGCTTAAGTCAAAAGTATTAAGAGTTTCACCTTTTCCCTCTCCATAGCCAGAAATGAGATGCCAGTAACCCATTCCAACATCCCATCAAAAGCCTCTACCTCCAGTTGATAACTTAGTGCGCGCCCACACGTTCCCAACCAGGTCCTTCTTATAAGACGTGAACCCGGTCCTAGTTTGCACTCTGCTACTGAGGCACGCGGTTATTCTTTTCTGGGCCTCTATGTCTTCAGTTGTAAAATGCACATATACATTGGTTTAGATGACTTCTAAGTCTCTACGGGTGCCTTTTTTTTGGGGGGGGGGGACGTAGAGGATTAGGAACAGGAATGCCCGTGATTCAGGTGACGCAGGGACTCCTGGTGTGAGAACTTCTTCCACAGAGGCGATTCTTCTGTAACTTCACTCTTAGGGCTGGGAGCCGGCCCAGAGACCGCAGGCTGCGTGGCGCCGGAGCCCGACTTTCCCAGCCTCGCCTGCTCCCCGCAGCCTGCCTTCTCCCGTCAAGGGCTCTCCATCTAGTCCTCCCAAGAGTCTCCGGGGGGCACGGGGCGGGCGGCCCCCAAGGTAACTCAGCTTGGGCATCCGGGAGGATCCTTCAGGATTCAGCTCGGCCTTGACCTCTCCCCGCGTAAAGCAGCCGCTTGTTCCGGACCGCCCCTGCCTCGCGGGGCCTGCTCCGGCGGGGGCGCGCTCCCGGGAGCGGGGCGGCTCACTCTGCCCTCTGTACCGCGCGGTCGCGGGGGGGGGGGGTATTCCTTCGCGGGTTGAGGTTACACTCGGAGCTCCGCGGTTGTTCAGTCGTGTCCGACTCTTCCTGACCCCGCTGGGGGTTTTCTCGGCAGAGACGCTGCTTGACATTTCCTTCTCTAGCTCATTTTACAGAGAAGGAAACGGAGGCAAACGGGGCTAAGGGGCTTGCCCGGGGTCACAGAGCCAGTACAAGTCTAAGGCATGACTGGAACCCAGGTGCTCGGCCCTCCCCCAACAACAGGCTCAAGGGATTCTTTAAAAAAACAAAACCAAAGGGAAAGCTTCATCCACGTGACCCTTCCTCCCCCACCCCCATGGGCGAAGCAGAAAAAGGAACACCGAACGCCGGCTGTACTGTCATCTGTCACCCCGAGCAAGTCGTTGAGTCCTTTTGAACCTCAGTTTCCCGGTCTGTAAAGCGACCGCCTGGGAGGTTCTTACGTCTACTAGGTGACCGCCCCTCCCCACCCTCCCCTTAATCCCGACCCCTCCCCACACACGCCTCTTCCTCCTCCCCCACTCCGCGCCCCCCAATTCCTCTCATCGCAGCACCCCCTCCCCACCCCCAATTAAGATGGGCGGTGTCCGGCCCCCCCCCCCCCGCACCGAGCCCGGACTCACCTACCGGCTCCAGAGAGGCTCCGTTGGGACGGCGCCAAGCCGGTTTGAATTCAGCTCCCGGGATGACTCGCCTTTCTCGCGAGAACCTCAGCTGCCGGAAGAGGAGCCTGCGCAAGCGCGCTGGGGCCGGAACGCCGACCGGGGAGCGAGGCGCTGTGGGCCTTCTGCGCATGCGTCGCCGTCTCCCAGCGCCTCTGGGAGGCGGCGTGGGGGTGGGGGCCCTTCTTTCTCGCCTTTTTTTTTGTTTTGTTTTTTAAGGCTATTGGCTTGTTCTGATGGCGCTTTCGTTGATGAGGAGGCAATTTCCAATCGTCTCTGAGAGCTCTCTGGAGCGCGGGTCATGGATATAAACCTTAGAGCGGGAACGCACTTGGAGGCTAGACAGGTTCAGATTCTGCTCTGGGGTCGCACAGCTGTAGTCTGAAGCGAAATACGAACCCAGCGCCCTTTCCATAGTGCCAAGCTGCTTCTCCAAAGGGCTGTGTGGCTTACCCAGTGTCGCGCAGACATGTTTTAATGAGAATAATAACCAACATGTATATAGCGCTTAGTATACACTAGGCACTGTGCTAAGGGCTTTACAATTATTAACTCATTTGATCCTCCCAATAACGTTGGGAGGGAGGTACTATTTGGCCCATTTTCCTTATGAGGAAACTGAGGCAAACAGGTTAAGTGACTTGCTTAGTGTCACACAGCTAGTAAGTACTTGAAGCTGAATTTGAACTCAGGGCTGCCTGGCTCCGGGCCAAGAGCTGTATCCGCGTCATCCGTATGTCTCAGGCTGAGCTTGGGGTCGGCTTCTTTCCATCTACTTACACCACACCACCTCCCACTACCTCTCAGAGTTATAATCCATATTGATATGTGTGACAATCCTTCCCTAATCAGAAACGGCCTCCTGCTCTTGGTACAAATTATTTGGGGCCGGAGGATAATCACATTTTGTTGGTTCAGGTCACCAGTTCCTTGCCTGAAAATGGAGTTTTCACCCATTCATTGAGAAATGAGTCAGCAGCGGACTGGGAGTCAAGAGCACACGGAGGGTCAGGAGCATACCGGGGCGGGGGGGGGGGGGGGGGGGGGGGGGTCAGGAGACCCAGGCTCTGGGACTGACTCCCTCTGTGACTTCATCCTGTTTGTTGTAGTGAAATGAAGCGTGGATAGGCAGTTCGAAGACCTGTCTTTGAATGCCAGCTTTATTACCACTTTTGTAGCCTGGCCTGAGTCTCTGGACTTCAGTCTTCTCATCTGCAATAATAATGATGACATTTACGTAGCACTCTTTTTCAAGTGTAAGTAGTAAATATCAGCATTCTACAGATTGGAAAACCAGAGCTCTAAGGGGCTAAGTGATCTGTCCAGACCTGAGGTGTAGTAGGTGCTTTACAGATGACCCACAGTCAGGTGCTAGTGACCATCTAAGGCAGAATTTGGACCCAGGTCTTGTGATTCCAAGCCCAGCCCTAGATACAATGTGTTATACAACCTCTAAAAAAGGAAAAGCATAGTATAAAATGAGAAGGTTGTATTAAGTGAACTCTCAAATGGCCTTCCATTTCTATATCCCTTTCTCCTCAGGCAAGTCACTTCCTGTCTTTGGACCCTCTGTTTTGTTTTATAAAATTAGGGCATTGGACTAGGTGACCCTAAGCTCGTTTTCAGCTCTGACATTCTATGACGGTATTTTTTTTTTCCACATTAACTAAGCCTCCTCATTTAGGATGTTTCTGGACAGAATTTGGGGACTGTATCAATCTTCTATGTGCAAAGCATTGAGAGAAATACATGGTTCTTGTCCTCCTTGGGCTTGCATTTATGGGAGGTAGCAGTATGACTCTCTCCTCTCTCTCTCTCTCTCTCTCTCTCTCTCTCTCTCTCTCTCTCTCTCTCTCTCTCTCTCTCTCTATATATATATATATATATATATATATATATATGTATACACACATATGTAGACAGATATAGATATATAGTAAATGCCACATTAGTAGTATAGTCAGAATATTGTAGATATTCAGAGGAAGGAAAGCTCATTTGTGCTAGGGGGTTGGGGGCAACTAGATGATGCAGGGGATAGAGAGCCATCCCTAGAGTCAGGAGTACTTGAGTTCAAATTTGGCCCCAGACACTTACTAGCTGTGTGACCCTGGGCAAGTCACTTAACCCTGTTTGCCTCAGTTCCTCATCTGTAAAATGAGCTGGAAAAGGAAATGGCAAACCATTCCAGTATCTTTTGTCAAGAAAACCCCAAATGGGATCACAGAGGGTCAGACACAACTGAAATGACTGAAAAGCAACAACAATTAGGGCTTTTGAGCAAGACTTTCAAACATAGGTAGGATTTTGATAAGCTGAGATGTGTAAAAGGGCATTTAAGGGGATGAAATTGCATGAGCCAAGAAAATTCAGTGGGAGACTAAATATGTCAGTGGATCATAACCCCTTTCTGTTGTCTCATCTTGAGAAATTCTTATCCATGTCTTTTCATAGAACTCATAACCAAACCTCTGGATACAACTGCTGTTGCACAAGTTCATCCTTCATGCTCACTAATGACCCACTTATCTCCCTACCTGGACGGTGCCACACAAATATTACTTCAGTAGTATTGTCCTTGGACACACCTTGTTGCCTTACACTTCTGCCCATGTGAAATAACTGCTTCGGTGAGCTTCACTTTCCTCATAAGAATATCGGTACTGCCTATCTCACCAAGTTGTTAGGAAGTTTAAATGAAATAATGATATAAAACTCTTTGTAAATCTTAAAGATAGATAGTGATAACATCTGTTAAATGTGCAATATGTGTCAGGTACTATGCTAAGACCTGGGTAAAAGCAAGCAATACAGTCCATGCCTTCAAAAAAAAACCTTATATTCTACGAGTATCTCTCCACTTGAGTCTATTCTCTACTTGAGTCTATTTTCCACTCAGCTGTCAAGATGAATCTTCCTAAAGTGCAGGTCTAACCATGTCATCTCAATCAACTCCAGTGGCTCCTCCTACCTGCAAAATCAAACATAAAATCCTCTGTTTTTTAAAGTCCTTCATAACCTGGCATTCTCCTAACTTTCCAGTCTTATTACACTTGACCTCCTACCCTGTATTCTGTGACCTCATGACACTGAGCTCCTTGCCGTTCCTCACACAAGATGCTCCATCTCCTGATTCTAGGCATTTCTCTGGCTGTCCCCCACGCACAGAATGGTCTTGTTCCTCATCTCTGCCTTTTGGCTGCCCTGACTTCCCTCAAGTCCCAGTTAAAATTCTACCTTTTACAGGAAGCCTTTCCCAATCCCTCTCAATTCTAGTACCTTCCCTCTGTTGATTATTTCCAATTTATCCTGTATATAGTTTATTTGTATATAGTTGTTGGCATGTTTTCACCCCTCTCTAGACTGTAAGTGCCTCAAGGACGGGAACTGTCTTTTATGTTTCTTTGTATCCCCAGGGGTTACCACAGTGCCTAGCACATAGTAGGTATTCAACAAATGTTTATTGATAAAAGGATGAAAAGATAATGCATAATGGGGAGCTGGAATGGGGAGACAGATGAAGGGATAGCATGCACATTCTTGCATTGTTTGGAGCTGGGGGCCACAACTGATCCTGGCAAGAGAAAGAAAGCTCACCTATCAGACCCAAGGGTGGTTCCTAGGGCAGAGTCTGAATTTCTGGTGAGGAGGAGATGGGAATGAAGGCCAGAGCAGAAGCCTTGAAACATAAATGTCAGTTGTATGATAACCTCATTCTCTGCTTTTTCAATAGTGTTTGGATTAAGATGGTTCTGGAGATGTATCCTACTATTGTTCTCCTATGTTTAATATTCTATGGACTGTTGCAAAGATGGATAAAATAACTGCTTTGTGTTAACTGAATACGAGTATTGAAATGTAAGCTTATCTTCCATAGGTTCACTGAAAGTCCACTGGAACAATTTCAGTAGCATACAGGACAATGAGATGTTCCTACATTACTTTTCTTTTGCATGGTCTATTGGGTTTTGCAAGTGTTTTGTTCCACAAAGCTTGGAGATTATGAGTATTTCCAACAGCAACGTCTATTAAAATATTTCTTAAATTGCTATGGATCAGTATTATTGTTCTGTTGCTGTCATTTTTGTTGTTGACGTTGATGTTATTCCTGCTACTTGGATGAAGCAGTGGGGCAGCTTCTGTGATCATGGTATTTTTGACCAAAGCAGGCTTTTTGTCCTAGATGATGAAAATAGA